AAGGAAACAACTGGGTTTAAAAACAGCCCAAAGCTGGGCACCGTGGCTCAAGCATGTAGTCCCCACTTTGGGAGGCCAAGGCAGGTGGATTTCCTGAGCCCAGGAGTTTGAGACCAGCTTGAGCAACACAGCAAGACCCCATCTCTACAAAAAAACGCAAAAATTAGCTGGGCCTGGTGGTATGTGCCTGTAGTCCCAACTACTCCAGAGGCTGCGATGTGAGGATCACTTGAGCCCCAGGAGGCGGAGGCTGCAGTGAGTGAGGATTGGGCCACTGCACTCCAGCCTGGGCAACTGTGAGACCCCGTCTCAAAAAATAAAATAAAAATAAATAAAATGCAAATGAGCCAAAGACCTTAAGAGACACCTCACCAGAGAAGATACACAGATGGCAAATAAGCACCTGGAGAGATGTTCCACTTCATACATCAGGGAAATGCAAATTGAAACAGCAATGAGACACCACGGTACACCTATGGGAATTCCAAAACGCAGAACACTGACACCACCAAATGCTGGCTAGGATGCGGAGCGGCAGGAACTCCCATTCACCGCCTGTGAATAGAAGTGGCACAGCCACTTTGGAAGAGCGTCTGGTGGTTTCTTACAAAACTAGACACACTCTTACCATACGCTCCAGCAATCGAGTTCATGTGAATTAAAACCTTATGTCCTCACAAAAGCCTGCACACAGAAGGACACAGCAGTTCTATTCATAGCTACCAAAACTTGGAAGCAGCCAAGACGCCCTGCAGGAGGTGATGGATCAGCAAACTGTGGCCCATCCAGACGACGGAATATTATTCAGGGCTGAAAAGGAATGAGCTGCCAAGCCATGAAAAGACATGGAGGAGCCTTCGATGCGTGTGACTGAGAGGAGGAAGCCACTCTGAAAATGTTACTGTACACTGGATCGCAACTATATTTGATTCTAGAAAAGGCAAAAACACGGAGATAGTAAAAAGAAAAAAGGGTTAGCTAACATGGTCAAACCTTGTCTCTACTAAAAATACAAAAAATTACCCGGGCGGGGTGGCACACGCCTGTAGTCCCAGCTACTCGGGAGGCTGAGGCAGGAGAATCGCCATAACCCAGGAGGCGGAGGTTGTAGTGAGCTGAGATCGTGCTACTGCCCTCCCCCCTGGGTGACAGAGCAAAACTCCATCTTGAAAAGAGAAAAAACAAGGATCCGTGGTTGCAGGGCTTTGGGGAAGTGGAAGCAGCACAGAGAGGATTCTGGGGGCCGTGATGCTGCTCCGGAGCCCACTGTAATGGTGGATCCATGTCACTAGACATCCATCCACACCCACAGAACATCCAACGGCAGAAGCGACCCCTAATGTAAACTCGGGGCTTGGGGAAATGACGTCTCCATGTTGGCTCACGACTGTGGCACATAGCCTGGGGCACTGATGGAGGGAGAAGGGACGGGTGGGAACACTTTGTATTCTTTGCTAGATTTCACTGTCAACCTAAAACTGCTTTAAAAATGTATATAAATATATACGTGTGTATACATATTTAAATATATGTGTATATATGTATATGTGTGTATATATATTAGAAATTTTTTTATATGGAGTCTCACTCTGTTGCCCAGGCTGGAGTGCAGTGGTGTGATCTTGGCTCACTGTAACCTCCACCTCCCAGGTTTTGAACGATCCTCCTGCCTCAGCTTCCCAAGTAGCTGAGATTACAGGCACCCAGCTAATTAGCCTGGCTAATTTTTGCATTTTTAGTAGAGACGGGATTTCACCACATTGGCCAAGCTGGCCTCGAACTCCTGACCTCAGGTGATCCACCCGCCTCGGCCTCCCAAAGTGATAGGGTGACAGGCATGAGCCGCTGCACCCGGCCCACAGGTATATATACTTTTAAGGTAATCAGCGGATAGGAACTTCCTTAATGTGTTCCTTAGAAAAGAGTGGCAGAGCCTCCAGACTGGCTGCTCTGGCCCTGGTGGTTTTGGCTCTCCCTGAGAAACCTGATTCTGGCCACTGGGCAGTGGTGGCTGAGGTCCAGGGCCTGGCACATCGCAGAACGGGCTCTCGTGGCAAATGTGTGGACCCCTCCATGCAGGGCCTTGCTGGCCAGGGCTGGCCATCCACCTCTGAGGACATCCTGCAGCAGTTGGGCTGTCCCTGATCCCCGTCCTGGCCCACTGGACCTACAGGCCTCTCATCCCACAGTCACAGTGGGGGACCCTGCGTGTTATTGGGGGGTCTTCCAAGCCCCTGTAAATCTGAACCCAGGTTTGAAACACGCTGTCCTTTCAAGTCCCAGAGCTTCTGTGGGGACCCCTGGGGGGTTCCGGCATCCCTTTCCACTTTCCGAATGCCCACAATTCGTCACAGTTCCCTTTTCTGACCCGGGCCACCGCGTGACACGCCACCCGTAGCACATCAACCTTAATCACGCCGTCCTGAAGCTCATTCTGACACTTCCTGCAGGCTTCCTCCAAACCCCAGCGCCCCACATTTCCTACCCCCTCTCCCCTGGAGCAGGCCAGGTCGTTCATGCCAACCATCCCCCACTAAAGTCCCTCCGTGCCTTGTCACACCCCTGTCTGAATCAGGAACCTCACCGACGATCCCGCCCCCTCTCCCAGCTTTCCCCTCCTCCCTTAGAGTCCTCAATTCAGGAACACGTGGGAGCCACGTCCGCTAGGCTCTGCTCTCCCGAACCCACCCTCAACTTTCTAACAAAGGAGGAAATGAAGCCAATGGTGCAGTGGGCAGGGCCGTGAAAACCTGCCGAGTCCCTTTTTCCCTGTCACTCCCTGGTAGGCCACCGAGCACTGCTCTGATGGCCCAAAGTCAGGGCCAGGGGCTGCTCCCACCCTGGAGTGGCCAGAAGGGCACATTGCCAAGGCAAACGGGCCTGCAGAAATACTGGCAACTCTCGATTAGTCAAGCTTCATTATCCAGTCTTCCTGGCTCCTCTCCTTCCCAGGAGTCCACAAAGAAGCCACTAAATCCTTCCCAATCCAGCCTGTCCCTCAATTCCTGTGTCTGGATCCAAGGAGGGTTTGTTTGTATGGCAGACCCGTAGGGTGACAGGCACCCCAACCGTGAGAGCTGAGGCAGGGCGCCCAGCTCACCCCCAGCAAAACCAGCATCAGCTGTGCCTCGTCCTGCTCCTCCTCCTGCCTCCACGCCCATTCTATTCTGCACAGGAGGCTTCCCGCTACTGGAATTCCTGGTGCATGTGAATTAAACCAGGCCGGCCCTGGATTTTCTAGGCACACATCAGGTCACACAGGCCAGGAGGAGAAGCACTGTCCTTCAGAATTTCGGCCCAGTCCACTACTTTGGGTGCGCATTCTTCCTATTCCGCGAGCATAAATGGCACCTATAAAAAGCTGTAATAGCCCAGAACATTCCGGTTCCTTGCCGTTCTGTGAAAGACTTTTTTTCTCTGGTTCCTTCTGGCCTCCACTCAAGTGTCCCCTCCTCAGAGGCCTCCCCTGGCCCTGCCTGATCGCCCTGTTCTCTGTGCTCCCAGGCACATGTCATCACAGTGCCACTTGTCCATTTATTCATTCCTGGTTCCACGAAAGCAAGCACCTCGCCACCCCACCCCCTTTCTTCCTATTAGCTGCACCTGGCGTCTGGCGGGCGCTCCGCAGGCTGTGGGCTGAATTGGGAGGGGAGTGCCACTTGCGTCTATAATTGTTTCAAGCCATAAAGAGGAACCGAAATGATTTCTGGTAAGGGTGCTGATGACTGCATGGAGGAACAGTGGGGATGACAGAGAGAAGGATGAGTCACTGACCATGTCATTTAGGAGAGGTGACAGACTAATACAAGCCACAGCGAGTCCTCCAGTGTAAGGCTTGAGAGAAGAGTGGCCTGTCTGCCACGAGACCTACCGAAGGGGACAAGACCCTGCCCTCTTGGAACAGGATCACGAGTGGCAAGACATGCATCTCCTTTGGGCACGGGCATCCCTGGGAGAAAATGGCTGGGGAAACAAGCATTCCCTGCACTGTACACAAATCCTGGGGAGGCGGTGCGTGGGGGACACACACATGCCTAGAGGCAAATCTGTCACGTGTTCCCGGAGCACACACATCCCTAAGAATACAACAGCCCCAGGGAAGAAATGAATGGGGGACCTGCATCCTTGGGGACTCTCATCCCTGGAGGCACAGAAAGAGTTCCCAGGGGAAGTGCTAGGCCCAGATGGTTTAAAGAAACCCGCTATGGGAGGGCTCCTTCCCGGAGACCCACCTGAGGCCAGCCTCTCTCCACCTGCCTTCCGCAGCAGGTCCCCACCTCCATTCTTTGTAAGCTCCGCGCACGTCTCACCAACCCGAAATCTCATTATAGGGCAGGGTCCCAGGGGCAGAACCTCCCCAACCCAACAGAAAATTCAAGAATGCATCTCCCAGGAGGCCCTGCGCAAGCGGTACAATTAAAGACGCCAGGCTATCCCTTGCAACTGTAACAATCTTTAAAACCTAGCAGGTTGGTAGTGTTTCGTGAGCACACGCAGTAAAAAATTTAGAAAAAAACTGAAACGGGATATCTGCAATCCTCGCTCGCAGGCCTCAGGCCTGCACGCCCTGCACCCCCACCCTGCAGGGCGCCCGCGCAAAACCCAGCAGCGAGTCCCCCAGGCCGTGCCCGCCCAGCGTGCCCCGCACACAGTGTCGCTGCTCATGGAATGAACCGTCACCCCGCGCGGCTGGCGATGCCACTGCCCCAGGGAAGGGCGAAACACTCGGCGGCCGGAGCAGGCGCGGGCCACGCAGTGACCCCAGGTCCCGGACGCGCAGGCGCCCGCACGCGCGCTTGGCAGACGCCGGAGGCCACCGCGCGGCCCGAGCGCCCGGTCCCGGGGCAGAGGCCTGGCCTGTCCCGAAGGTCGCGCCGCCGCGGGGGCCGCGCGGGGTGCGCGCGGGGTCGGCGGGGGCGGCCTCCTGGGGCGCCGTGGGGCGAGCGCGGGAGCGGCCGGGCAGGTCCCCAGGGGGTCGGCGGGCGCGGGCGCGCACTCACCCTCGCGCGCCCTCCGCTTCCTGGCCAGGGTGCCGCCCAGCTTGCCCAGGAACGACTCGTCCTTCTTCATCCTGCGGGGCCGCGGGGTGGGCGAGCGCGGCGCGGAGGACATGGGCCGCGCGTGGGGGCCGGCAGGCTCAGCGCGTGTGGAGCCGCCCGGTTGCCCCGGGGAGTGGCCGAGGGCGCGGCCCCGCCGCCGGCCACCCCCACCCCCCGCCCCGCGCTCCCGCCCCTGGCCCGGATGCCCGAGGCCTGCTGGTCCCCGGCAGACGCCGCAGCTCACGCTCAGAGAAGGGGAGCGGGGCCACCCCGGGCGCGGCGCAGCCTTTCCCCCCCCCCAGTTGGAGCCCTGATCCCTGCCCCGCCCCGCTAGTGGTGTGGGATCCAGGGGGCAGGGCGACAGGCACCCGCGCCACGTGGGTGCGGCCTCAGGACGTCCTGGAAGCCACAGAGTATCAAGTCACAGGAACGCGGCTGGTCTGTGGCTGAGCTTCTGCCACGAGCCAGGCCCGGGGCGCGGGGGCCCTTCTGACCTGGGAACCGTCCCTGTCCAAGGGAAGCTGAGAGGATGGAGGGCAATGCTGGGGCAGGTCATTGTCCTGACCTCCAGGAAAAGCTCGAGGAGTTGTTTCTGGATGAGGCGACCGGGAAGTACCATGGTTTGCGGGCAGGTACCATGAGGTCAGCGGAAGAGCAGGCCCTGGGGACAGTGTGGGGTGCCAGGGGTGGGGAGAGGAGAGGAGGCAGACCTCGCAGGTGTTGGAAGCAGAGGAAATGGCTTCATCCCGAGGGGGACAAGACAGGGTTCCCTGCGGGACACGATGCGCGCTTCATTGTTGTATTTTCAGTAGAGATGCAGTTTCTCCATGTTGGCCACACTGGTCTCGAACTCCTGACCTCAGGTGATCCACCCGCCTTGGCTTCCCAAAGTGCTGGGATTACAGGCGTGAGCTACTGTGCCCAGCCTAGATATCCAGGCAGGGCTTTGAGCTGTGATGTCACATGCGTTGCCTCTGATGGCAACACAGCAGGTGCTGGAGACAGAGAAGGCACAGGCAGAGGTACCCGTGACTTAGGAGAGAAGCAAACAGATTTCTGACATGCTCATGGCCAGAAGAAGCCCCAGCCTTGAAGAAGCAGGAGGAATAGGCAGGGCGTAATGGCTCACACCTGTGATGCCAGCACTTTGGGAGACCAAGGTAGGTGGATTGCTTGCGATCGGGAGTTCAAGACCAGCCTGGCTAACATGGTGAAACCGCGTCTCTATTAAAAATACAAAAATTAGCAATATATATGTGTGTGTGTGTGTGTGTGTGTGTGTGTGTGTGTGTGTGTGTGTGTGAGATAAATTGTATGTCATCTATATTTTGCCACAATAAAAAATTACTGGAGACAGGGGTGGTGGCCCATGCCTGTAATCCCAGCACTTTGGGAGGCCAAGGCAGGTGGTTTAGCTGAGATCGAGAGTTTGAGAGCAGACTGGCCAACATGGAGAAACCCGTCTCTACTAAAAATACAAAAATTAGCTGGACATGGTGGCACACGCCTGTAATCCCAGCTACTCGGGAGGCTGAGGCACAGGATCACTGCTTGAGTACAGGAGTTTGAGACCAGCCTCAGCAACATAGCGAGACCTATCTCAGCAAATAAGAAAAAGATAGCCGGGCGTGGTGGTGCACACCTGCAGTCTCAGCTCCTCATGAGGCTGAAGCAGAAGGATCGTTTGAGCCCAGGAGGTCAAGGTTTGCAGTGAACTAAGATCACGCCATTGCACTCCAACCTGGGCAACAGGGCAAGACCCTGTCTCATAAAAAAAAACTCACAAAATTTGTTAATATATAATGGAGGTACTATTCCTTCTAAATAAATACAACTTTAAATTTTGGTTTTTTATGTCTAATACAGTAAATATCAGTGGAGAGATCAGGTATGGTGGCTCATGCCTGTAATCCCAGCACTTTGGGAGGCTGAGGTGGATGGATCACAAGGTCAGGACTTTGAGACCAGCCAGGCCAACATGGTGAAACCATGTTGAGAGGCGGAGGTTGCAGTGAGCAGAGGTCGTGCCACTGCACTCCAACGTGGGCGACAGAGCAAGACTCTGTCTCAAAAAAAAAAAAAAGTAGGAAGAGTGAAGGTTGGGTGTCCTGCTGGGACCCTTGTGGGTCACTCAGCAGAGACAGGGGCCAGCAGAGGATGCAGTGTGAACCAGAGAATCTGGTTCAGCTTTGGGTGTATGGGTTGAGACCATTTTTCTGTCCCCCTTTGTGCTGGCTGGCCCCCCTTCCCCACAATGCAGTAAATGCTTCTGTGGGCCGAGTTGATGCCAGACCCGGTCCCCAGCCAGAGGCGAGCAGCCCAGGGACACAGAGCTTTGTCTTCCAAGAGTTTTGGTCCAGGAGAGTGGGCACAGGACACAGTGGCCATGCAGTGTGGCCAGCATGGGGGGAGGGGACAGGGACGGGGACGCAGAGGCACTGCGGGCAGACGATGCTTGCAGGGAAGGGACATTTGACCTGGGACCAGGACCAAATTACCCTTTTCCTTTCAGTAAAGGAAGAGAAGACACACCAGGCAGAAGGGACAGGGAGAGGACACTGGGGTGACCTGGGGCTGCCAGCAGACAGTTCCACAAGCTAGAGGGGTCAGAAAACAGAAACATCTTCTCACAGTTTGGAGAGAAATAACGAGGGTGCTGGGAATTATGAGCCAGGCATGGTGGAGGAGGAAAACCAATTTACAAATATCATGTCTACCAGGGTCTTCGCAGATGATCAGGTTCAGATGAAGTCACCAGAGTGGGCTCTAATCCAAGATGGCTGTGTCCTTGTAACACCCCCGTGCACTGGGGATTAGGATTGCATCCAAATCAAGGTATAGGCCAGGTTCATTTCTGTTTGGAAGCTAAAGGGCAAATCCATTCCCTGCCTCTCTCTGGGCTACTGGGGTTTGCCAGCAATCTTCAGTGTTCCTCCGTCTCTACTAGGCTGTGTGTGTGTGTGTGTGTGTGTGTGTGTGTGTCTAGACTTTACAAGGACACAGTCATGCTGAATTAGAGCCCACCCTGGTGACTTCATCTTCACGTGGTCATCTGCAAAGACCCTTGTGAGATGATGATATTTATACATTGGTCTTCCTTTACCTGGCTCATAATTCCCATCACCTCGTTACTTCCTCAGGGAGGAAACAATAAGCATATCTTTTGTTATTTAGCCATTTTTCCTTGGTTCCTGTGCAGTGTGGAAACAGCTTCAGAGCAATAAAGGGGAAAGGCAGTCCCGTGTTACAGTGTCGGGGCCTCGGAAGTAGGCCTCGGATGTAGCATCTCTCTCTCTCTTTCTGACCTTCCTATTTCCCCCCTTTCACCTGCTCCTTTTTCTCCCCAAGGCAGGCCATAGAAAATGAAAATATATTCTAAATTTCCCCCACCTTTCTGTCTTGGACCTGGCCACGGAGAAATTCTCAGACCTGCCTTGTCTGACTGTGGGTCACGAGGTCCCCATTTCAGAAGGAGTCCTGCCTTCTGCCAGGAGGGAGGAATGCTGTACAGACAGGCCGTGCTGGCTTCCCCACTCCGACTGATGGTGTTGGGTCATTCTGTTTTTGTCCAGTCACACTTCAACACGGTTGTCTGGCTTCAATCATGCTTAGCCAATGAAGGCTCCGTTAAAAACCCAAAAGAGTGGCCGGGTGCAGGGCTCACGCCTGTAATCCCAACACTTTGGGAGGCCAAGGTGAGTGGATTGCTTGAGATCAGGAGCTTGAGACCAACCTGGCCAACATGGTGAAACCCTCATCACTACTAAAAATACAAAAATGAGCCAGGCGTGGTGGTGCACGTCTGTAATCTCAGCTACTTGGGAGGCTGAGGCAGGAGGAACAGGAGGGGTTGGACTTGCTGTCTCAGGGCAGCAGAGGTGGAAGAGATAGGGGAGGTGGAAGGGGAGGCAGGAGAGGCAGACATGCTAGGTGTAACTTTTTTTTGAGATGGAGCCTCACTCTGTCACCCAGGCTGGAGTGCAATGGTGTGATTTTGGCTGGCTGCAACCTCCACCTCCCAGGCTCAAGCAATCCTCCTGCCTTAGCCTCCTGAGTAGCTGGGATTACAGGTGTGCACCACCATGCCTGGCAATTTTTTTTTTTTTGTATTTTCAGTAGGGACGGGGTTTTGTCATGTTGGCCAGGCTGATCTCGAACTTCTGACCTCATATGATCTGTCCACCTCAGCCTCCGAACATGCTGGGATTACAGGTGTGAGCCACCACACCCGGCTTGGAGTAACTTCTATTGAAAAAGATTCTCCCAGCACTCTGGGAGGCCAATGTGGGTGGATAGCTTCAGGCCGGAAGTTCAAGACCAAACTGGGCAACATAGCAAGACCCTCATCTCTATTTTAAAAAGAAAAGAAAAGAAAAAGATTCACATGCAAGTGGACCTGCACAATTCCAACCTGTATTGTTCAAAGGCTGTGTGTTCGGAAACCATGCGCAGAGAAACAGCATTTCTGTTTGTTCAAATACATTGGACTCCAGTGCCTCCTTCTGCAGGCCCAGGTTCTCCATGGCAAGTGTGTGGGTAACGGAGGTTGACCAAGACCACACAGTGTGGGGCCCAGCCAGGGGCACAGAGCACGTACAGCACGAGCTCAGTAAATGTTTGCTCCTTGTCCTTAATTAAGAGTATATGGAACTGGCCTCTTTGGAAGCCACAGTTCAAAAGCAAACCAAATGGTTTTCTTTAACAGGGGCAGCTGTATGTAATCTGATTTTCATAATTATTCTCCACATTTAAAATGTATGCACAGCCCTGGCACGGGGCATATGTGGGCAGCATATCAAGAAGCAAAGGTGGCATTGATGGAGGAGCTAAGTTCATATTTCTGCATCTCATTAAATTCTCTCTTTTTATTAAAAAGCAGCGCTTTCCAACCTTGAAGTTAATATTTATGTTTGCTGCTCTGCAAAGCAATTTGGAAAGTAGTTTAGTGAGATTACCCCAGAGAGAAAGCTAGTTATGTAAATGCCACAGGAGCCAGGCCAAGAAGAAGGAAACTTTTGGGCTTTGATCGTTGTCCTTCCTTCCTATCACCTTGAAAAGAAATACAACTTACTCCACAGCCATCAAGCTGGTTCCTGATTGTCATCTGTAGCACATACAAGACAAAAAAAA